GGGGGGGGGGGCTGAAAGCTGCAGACACCTGGATATGCTCAGCTGTGCAGCCAGCTGAGAACCAGCATACAGACGGGTGGGGGGGTGGTCTACGTTCCCCGGGGTCACCGGGCATGTTGGCGTCTCTATGATCTCACACCACAGTGTGACCGGGCTGACCAGGATAACTGAACTAATTATCTGGGCAATAATTCATCCCTCCTGGAGCGTCTGCTGTCAAATCCAACGCTTTTCAAAAGCTAACGAGTCAAATCCTTAAACGGTGCAATTCCCTGCCAAGGCAGCAGCTATTACAGACTAAAATAACAAAATAACAATTAGACATATTATTGAAAGTAATGATCTATTAAATGAATATGTGAAATGCCCTTCTTGTTGAGGACGGAGCTGGTTTCCTCCAGACTAAAGATTCCAATTTTATTACAAGCACAGGAGACCATCGGCCCGGCTGCAGGGAGCATCTCCGGTGCTGTGTAATACGATTGCCTCAAAGGGCAGGTTTTCCCAGAATCCTCGGAGGCCTCTGCAGGAGATCGGGGGAGCTGCAGAAGCCAACGAACGCCACTGCCCTCAGCAGCGCCAAGAAACTCGAAAACATCTACCATCCCGACTCACGGATACCTTGTGAGGAAAGAAGCAGTAACAGGGTTCCCCTTTGCGCCCTGAAAGGACAATGGGTGGAACCCCTGAATGGAGCAGCTGGATGGGCTGCTATGGGCCCCTGGAAGGAGATCCGGTGAGATCCAACAGCATTCACCCAACAGTTTAGCTGAGCTCAGCAGAATGGGCCGATGCACGTCTGTGATATGAAACAGGTACTGGGAGACACTACAGGAATCAGCTCCGCAAGCCATTAACCCGTCCAGATGCAGGAAACGGATCCAGATAACCATAGGTGCGGAATGATCTGGAAAACGTGACGGCTGGCTTTTAATGAGCTCTGGGGCACTAGATGAACGCCAGGCTGATCCTAGAGCACGTGCTTGGCCCGTCCCAGAACACCAAGGCATGCAGATGACAAGACCAGCAAGACACGTTATAGCTGTACAGTCAAGGAAGAATGCACAGGCCAGCACAGGCAAGCAAAGGAGAGCACAGGCAAGCAGAGGAACTTGGAGATCGTGCTGAGGGGTCGGGGGGGTGGGGGCCACTAACAGGCTCTCTGTTATCCAGGGTCTGGCCTGGCCTCCAGTAAATGGGCACCAAACAGCAAAGTGCAGAAAGAAAATCTGTGACGGGAACCCGCCTAGGTGTGAGAACTAGGAAACCTGGGAAAGGGAAGGTTCCATGAGCGAGTGTGTGCGTCCGCATGCAGGAATGCGCTTGCATGGAGTAGAAGGTATGTAGGCGTGTTTACGGGCATCGGTCTCCAAAGTCAGCCTACCTCTGTACACACACCCACACGCACACGTGTGTGAGAGTGTGGGTGCGTAAGTGTGAGATTCGCTGGTTCAAATGTTAAAAACCAGACAACGGCTTGACAACTCAGGGCTCATATAACGTTTTTTAAAATTCCCCTGTCAAGAAATGTCTAGAGAGGAAGCAAATGTGCTTTGATCACAGCAACCGTGACATGCAGCACTGCAGCTGTGGCAACGGGAGACAAACACAAAAACCTCCGGAAGTTTCTGCTTCTCCACCTCGATCCAAAAACCAGCGTGAAAGTTGTTCTGCGGTGCCAACAGCGGCCTGATCCCACAGGAGCGGCAGAATTTGGAACCGTCTGCAGGAGAGTGGTCTCCTGCGGAACAAAAGGCTCCCACTCCAGGGAAACATGGAAACAGGCGCAGCAGAAGAGTGGAGAGTTCTCTGCTGGGGATGTGGGAATGTCTCCCTGATTGGCTGAACCCTCCCGCCCACTCACCCGGCACACAGACATCTGATTGGTGGTGAGGGTGCCCGTCTTGTCGGAGCAGATGACGGAGGTGCAGCCCAGTGTCTCGACGGAGGGCAGGCTGCGCACGATGGCATTCTTCTTGGCCATGCGGCGTGTACCCAGCGCCAGGCAGGTGGTGATGACGGCGGGCAAGCCCTCTGGGATGGCTGCCACGGCCAGCGCCACCGCGATCTTGAAGTAGTAGATGGCGCCACGCACCCAGGAACCACCGTGGACCGGGTCGCCAAAGTGTCCGATGTTGATGACCCACACGGCGACGCAGATCAGCGAAATGACCTTGGAGAGCTGCTTGCCGAACTCGTCCAGTTTCTGCTGCAGCGGCGTCTTCTCCTGCTCCGTGGCCGCCATCTGGTTGCGGATCTTGCCGATCTCTGTGGAGACGCCGGTCGCCACCACCACGCCGATGGCTCGACCCGCCGCAATGTTGGTGCCCTGCGACCGCAGACAATACAAAAGCAGGGTCACCTGAGATGCTGTGGTCTCACCACAAGGGGCAGAACTGATGATACGGCATTCTTTAAAATGGGATGTTAATGAAACTTTAAAAATATTCTAAACATTTCCGTTTTCTCATATGTAATGTGACTGATTTAGTGAATGGCTGTAATAAACTAGTGATATCACTTTAAAAGAGTCTCTGGCGGCCACATTCAGATCTCAAACGGAAGTGCTTCACTGGGGCAATTATCTACCTTGGTGTTGTGCCAGGGGGAGGGACTTACCGAAAACAGCATGTTTTTCTTGTCTTGATTGACAGCCCTCGGATCAGGAACCGGGTCTGTGTGCTTGATGACAGACACTGACTCACCTGCAGTCAGAAACGAGTGTCACGCAAGGTCGGCCATGGCCTCAGGGGTCCCCGCCCCTCGGGACACGCCGACAGGAACACGCCTGATAAAAGCAGTCTGACTACTTGGGGGGGGCAGGGGGGCAGGGAGGAACACAGCCTTTGTTAACAGAGTGGAACTTCCCAATGTGACGGTGATGGAAGATGCGATTGTTTGTTGACGCCGAACAGAGGCCTTAAGCTTTTCTCCTACTCTGCTCAGAGCTTTGAGAACAAACATTTTGGGGTGTGGCAGGTGTCTGCGCTCTGTCTGTATCCAGGGTGACCATCCGGCCACACGGGGTGACAAAGAGCCACCAAACGTGGAGGCAAGATGGATCAGCCACTCTCAGAATATAGAAATACCTTAAATAGGCCTGTCAAGATAATTACGTTACTGAATTATTAAATAATATATGGACATAACCCTGATAATTTTTTCTGACCTTGGTATTGGCAGATTGTGTTTACATAAGAATGAACACGGCTTCTGCCCTCTTGTCTGCTCTTTGTGTCGCATGCGTGGTTCAGGGTTGATTCATATTTCACATGAAAGATGTGTGATGTTTTGCGTGCGACACAGTGCCAGACCTTCCATGGTCTTGAATGCTGATATTTCCAGAGCCAACAAACCATGATGTCAGGCCTGGGGTGGCGCTGTAGAGCAAAGCTGCTCTTAAAAGTCCACATTTATGAAATGTGGTATGGATGTTACAAGAATAAAACTAACCATGCACAATGTGCGTACAGTACGCAAGGCAGGGTTATAATTCTTAACAAAAACTTTTCCATAAACTGAAATAAAATAAGATCTGAAAATATAAATGAGAACTACAACTGAACGAGAACTATAAATATTCTGAAACCAACTGAAATAAAGAAACAAACGTCAAATACTTCCTGTTACCATTTTAAAATACTATATAGCTAAAGTGATGATTTGTTTATCTATGGTCTTCTTGTGCAATGCACTTGAACCACAGAAATAGCCAATGGCACAATAGTGAGACACTTTGTAGAAGCCAGTAAAGTCCTACAACTTCTCATCTATCCCTAGAAATAAAATGATTAAAACCTAAAGTAAAATATATAACAACTAAATAGATTAATGTCTTTAAAATAAAAACTAATGAAACCATACCGAAAACTAAAACTAACCTACATTTCAAATGAAAAAAGCAATAATATAAAACAAAATTTAAAAATCAAAATAATAAGACTGATGCAAAAACATACAGGAAGTGTTACGGTACAAATACATAGAGGGTGGAAAAGGTATCTATATGCAATCTTTGGTGCGACTACCTTCTGGCCTCCTGCTGCCTTTCACCTGGCCAACGAACAATCGAGGTTCGTTTGCATCACTGAGCAGAGCCTCCGCAAACCTGGGATGCCAGTATATTGCCTTTTAAGGAATAAATGACTCTCTATAGCCCCGTGCCACATTGTTTAATATTTAGTGCAATTTTTTTGTTAACAGAGCATGATAGTTCATTTTATGTATATTTTTTGGTTGTGTAGTTCTATTTATTTAGGATATTTACTTTTTTTGACATTACAATTCCAAAGTCTAAATATTATTAATAATTAAATGTCCATTGCTATTTGAAAGGGTGTAGTGTACTTGCATTATTATGCTATAATATTATCACTACATCAGTGGCATAAAATGGTCTTAAAATGACAATAATACAGTTCATCACAATTATTTCTGGGACAATATATTGTCCAAAAAAGTAGTTACTGTAACAGGCCTACCTCTAAGTCATATTTAAATCAAAATTATACACATAATAGAAATTGGTCAATTCAAAAATCATGTTTGCACAAAGTTTTTAAGTTAATCCAGGAAGTAACAGAGTGTTATCAAAGCACACCCCCCCCCCCCACCCACCCAAGCTTGCTGTGTACCTGTGAGAATGGACTGGTCAACACGGAGAGTCGTGGACCTTATGGAGGTAATCCGGATGTCTGCTGGAACCTTGTCACCAACTGAAGGGAAAAGCAGACCGTGGAAATAGATGTTACATAAGCGAAAATTAGCTTTCAGATGACCACAATGCTAAAGGGGACACGGCTCTAAATTTTGGCGGAGGGATACAACCACCAGGAGCTCTGTGACATGGTGCCAACATGGAGAAGCCACAAGGCAGAGATCCACCCTGAAGGCGGAGGGATACGACCACCAGGAGCTCTGTGACATGGTGCCAATAAACACCTCAATCCCCACATTTTAAACACCTCCGATTTCAACAACTGGCTAACGAAAGCCAATGATTCCCGCTGTTTGCTAGCAGCACCTCAGGAGGTTATATTAAAGCCATTTTTCATATCCACTTATCTGTACAGTTCATGGGTGTTTCAGAACCCTTGTCCCCCTTAGGGCACGAT